GATCCTTCCCTCACCGCTACTCCCTTAAGAGCTACTTGTACATTTACGGAGCTGAAACAGCCTTTTCTGAACAAAGCACGTAATTGTTCACGCAGAACGATAGCAGAAGGGACATCCTCGGCTCCGGTGATCGCGTCGTCGACGGGCAAGTTTTTCAACATTGCGTGCGAACCAGCGGGATTAGGTGTATCTTCATCAGAAACAAGCTGATGAATTGCTCGGATAGCCAAATAACAGGAAGGGGCGAGACCGAGGTGACAGTAGACAGTTCAATTTCTTAAACATTTTCATCTGGAGAGGGACGCCAAAAAATGTTTTGGGCATAAAGGTCTGCAGGACGAACTAAAACTGGCCGGTACATCTTTTGAGCGTCGGCGCAAAGTGCAGTATTGTGGTAGCGAAAGTACATCAAAATGTTGGAGATACGATTTTTTAATTTTGGGCCAATGAATAAACGATCTAATAGGAAACAGACGGGAACGGACGCGTTGAGAACCACCCTTTCTACGGTGGTAGATGTCGATTCCTTAGTGACAACGTGATGTGGAATTACATAGAGGACTGGGTTTTTGGTAAGAGACATGTGTCCCAACTCTAATATTATTGATTGTGTTATAATCCATTACCCGGCAGACGGATTGTGATCCATGCCTGTATTATGCTAATAATCATTGTTATACTCGTAGAAATAAAAATCATATATATATAAAACATCCATTACTGCTTTGACCAGCAAATTAATAAAAATGATGACTGATGCACTGAGCGTGGTGTTCAATCCTTTTTTAAAAAAGATAGTTCCTACTCACAGTAAGTTTAATTTCAAACATAGGGAATTGAACCAGATTGATTTGTTGATTTTGAGCATGAAAGTCTTAATTTATAATACAGATTTAAAAGTACTTGTTTACTAACAGATTTTAAGTAAGTGGAGGTAATATAACTGATTGTGTTATATTATTATTATTATTATATTACCTGATGACTTAAAATCATGTATGAAGATTTTTTAGGATTTATTAACAAGCCATGGTCACTAGTCCATGCCTTTATATTGATTAACATGCTATGTTGACAATGCTTAATAGCACTACATATATTGTTTACACGTAGAATAAACAGCATAAAGAACAATAATGTTCCTTGTGGAACTCCATGATTGATAGTTATCCAACTAGACATTACATCTTGACCCATCTTCGTACACATTTTTCGATTATTTAAGTATGATCGGAACCATTGGATTGTCCCCTCAGAGAAATTGAAAAATTTCGAACTGGATAATAATTTGTTTAAACTATTAACAGCACGTTTAAAATCTATAGCAGTGTGCACAGTCACTGGACTGTTATCATTGTTTTTTCTAATAGAATCAGTTAGATGAACTACAGATGTTTGTGAATTGTGGATTTTTCTAAAACCTGACTGGAATTCATTCATTCAGGACTAATTATTATTAATATAACTGCTAATGGTATTATAAAAGATTTAGTCCATAATCTTAGGTAATGTGGAGATCAACCTTATTGGCCTATAGCACTCGCATTTATCAGGTGGAAATTTTTTTACAATAGGTATTACCAATGCCTTTTTCCAAGTGTATGTGGCAGTTTTAACGGCAACATTATATATATTACATAGAACTTTAGAAATAAACTTTATAATATTTTTTAAAAATGCTGCTTTTATTCCATCAGGACCAGGTGATCAAGATTTTAATCTAATAATTTCTTCGATTATCTGTACTTCGGTTATTGCGTTAAATTTAAATGTATTAATTAATTGTGGGATTCGTATTTTTATTTTCATAATACTGTATTAAATTGTTACAAACCGTGTTATTTGCTCCTAATTCACTAAAATATTTATGTATGACAGATTCAAATTTGTAGTTAAGGTATTCTAACTGATTCGCATTGATTACTTTCTATAATAGGTACATCCTTTAGGCCAAGCAATTTTCCTCCTACGATAGAACATTTTCTTTTTAGGCCCATAAACACACTCACACTATTTACATGCTCCTTCCATGAGAGGCCTATACATAAAAAGTGGTAACGCGGTGAGATAAGTGGGTCAAGATAAAAATTATTTTCCACTAAGGACGTGTTTATTGCGATACGAGGGCGATTATGGTTCTGAAAGAGGATGATGTCGAGATTCTAATCAACCCCATCCTTTGTTCGTCGTTTAGACTGCGCCAAATCTCCCGGCTTTGTGCCTGAGGCCCTCTTGCCGAGAGGTTATCCGTCCTGTGAGCTTTTCCTCTAATAACCGAGTCGCGATTTACATTTCAAGTTTTATATTTCTTTGTGAAAAATGGCGCGAAACAAGATGAAAGGGAGGTCTTTTTTAACAAATACTTTTTATTCCTTCTTTTGAACATAAAATAGTATGTACTGCGTTATTAATATCGCAACAGCTTTTGTGCAAGAATTTTTTTCTTCATTTGTAACCTACTCATATTAGTACATAATACAACTATGATTACGTGGCGGGTTCTCGAGTTGAGGATATATACAGAGGGCTTCAGCAGAAGAGTTAGGATGGATCGAGATGTTGTTGTGAACCTTTTGGAATCGAGAACGGACCAGTTTGTTGCCAAAAGATATGTTATGGATTGTGATGATTGAAACCTCGTGAGAGCTATGACAATTTCACTAATGGCTTTTGATTGGAGGATTGGATGTGCTGGACTTTGGAAGGCATAGTTTAGTCTTAAGCGACAACTTAACAAAATATTGTTAGGACCGAAATCTGTTTTGAACGAGAAAACTAAACCATCTATAAACAAGACATTATTGCAGCCACTTTGGACACACGGATTGAAAATCTGGGATTCTGCCAAGCCAGCCAATATCCAGCGCCTCCAACACTTCCAATCAAAAGTCTTCAGATAAATCGTCAAAGCTCCTTACTTGGTCTCTACTTTCGTATCCACAAAGATCGCAACATTCATATAACATAACATAAACATGTGTATGTGTCTTTACTGTCACCTTATATTACATAATTATGTGAAAAGAAAAAGCAAAAGAAAAGGGATTCCACGTTGTCAGTGATCAGCGGTTGATCGGTTAACCAGCGTGAACCTACTAGATGAATAGATGAACCCAATGAATTTTATAATAAATAAACAATATAATCCTCATATGACTGATTTCGGTGTATTCCCTGCAAATTGTCCGTCGTCAGGCCGCTTTGAACATATGTATATCAAAGTGTACGCGAGTACTCTACACCCTGTGTGACTCGGCATGTTCGAGCACGTTCACTTGACTGTCCGTAATTGTGTTTATCAAAGGTGTTTCATGTGCTTTGTGAGGTCCCGTCACGCGAAATGCACCGATACGGGCTCTCTAGATACATAGGTATTTTTCGACCATTCCTGTTTATTGATTTGTATAACAGTAATTCCCAAATCTTCGTGTTATTTCTGTGGAATAATAACCATTTACATTGTTTTGTGGTCATTTCTGATCAAATTGTTCTGCATATTCTCGCTGTTTTGTTTTTCGTACTAGTTCGGCTTTTCGCCAAAGATTCCAGTCTTCATGGTATATCTGCGTGATCACTGTTTAAAACTTTTATAAGGTTGCAAAAGATGGAAAGTATGAGTCAGTGTTCTCGACGAATTAAGACTGATTTTTGTAAGGTTAGGCAATACAAATTGATAGGAAATGACCAAACAACAAATTCGCTACCCAGTAGATCTTAAAACAATTTAATGTTATAAATGATGGGACCAAGAATGCTCCCTTGCGGGACGCCACATTGCACCCATCACATTATAAGGTCAATGTGTTATTGGATGGTGGAGATGGCTCGGCTAGGATCCGGGTTAATTGATGAAATTACGATATTATCTGAACGTTAATGCAGGTGGGATATTTAAGGAAATCAGCAGCATTAATGGTATAAAAATGGGACTAAGAATGCTCCCTTGAGAGACGCCGGCCTATATTGGTCTGTCATCTGCGTACTCACTGGCCGACCTGCAGAAGAGACCAGTCAAATAGATTTATTTACATACATTTATGGACATGTATTAATCAAGTAATCAGAAAAGTCCTTATAGTAAATTCAAGAATGTCCTCTCTTTTATGAATGATTTTATGAAATATTGTAATATAAAACAAGATTCTATTGAAGGTGAAAATAAAGATAGAGAGATGGAAGTGGAACATCCTGGTAACAGCCAGTTTATTTCACTAACCGCACATGCATAATGTATTTAATATAAAAGTCATATGTGTTTGCCGTGGCTAATATATTTCATTGATACTTCTCATTCCTCAGTGTTAAAATATCAGGGTATAATCGATTTTTTTAAAAACATCTCATCGCAAATCCGTGCTTTGTGATTAATTAGTCGTATTTCGATCTCTTAACTCAGTTTAAAAAGCGTTCTTGATTCGCTGACAGGAATACTGCATATTTTGCTTTTATTCTGCATAGTCAGTAAAATGACTTGTGAGTCAAATCTCTTTTAGCAGCGAGAAGGATGTGCAGGTTGAGTAAATGAAAGAAGCAGTGGAAAGGTATTTAGGCGAAGTAGCACTAGAATATGAAGTAGTAGAATCAACTCATAAAAATTTATTGCAGTTTCTAAGTACAGAAAAGGGTTTGTACCGATATTGCAGTTTCTTTCGGCATGGAAAACCTTTTTTTGACATAAACGTAAATTAATGTTACATGCGTATCGCTTCAATTTGTCAATGATGCTATAAACCTGTAGACCTTGATTGTCCCTGGTAATCTTCGCTTGCCCACTCTCTTCTAGTTGTTATTGACTTTCAGGCAAGTCTCGGCATTTCGCTTCTTTGTCAATTACCGCTGAAGGATAGAACAAGATATTCTAGAACGATCAAGCGACAAAACGTGAAGGTGACTTAGTTACCGATACAAAGAAAATAACGTCGTAGTAATGGCATTAAATATTTTTTAAATCCACAAATTATTAAATACTAATTCATAAGATCATTAATGTTCTGTTTCAGAGAACGACTCTAAACTTGAAGATTGGAAAGTAAGTGAGTATGCACTTAAGTTAATGCATTGTTGTTTTTAAAAAATATCAGAAAAATATATTTCCTTGCACGCCTTTCATTGTATTTTCAGTTAATCAAAACTTAATAAATAAATGAAAAATCCCATCTCAATCCGGTTGGTGATATCAATCAAACTCAATGGAACATAGCATTAGAGTGGATTACTGATGTCCGATAAAAGTGATTCCCATTTTTTAAAAGGGTTTGAAATGTATTTTCGAAACAAACAAAAATAATCCGATCGTTGGTTTGTTCAGCTGAATGGACATCAAATAAATACAGGATAATAAATTAAATATGGTTTAGTTACGCTTTGTCGACAATTGAAAACGAATTTCCATCCTTTTCCTTGAAAATCCGGTATTAGTTAAATTTAGTATCCAACTGATTTAACGTTAAAAACAGTTATTTCAAAAATAATACGATTAGAGAGCAATTATTAGCTTAAAGGACAACTCGGTTGAGAACAATTGAAAACATTTAGTTCTTTGAAAGGACGACTAGCGACTGCAAGCAATAAACGTCAAAGTGAGGACGAATACAAACGAAATATATAGGAAAATGAATTTAGACTCCCCTCACTGGTATTAATGTTTGCGAATAGGGTGGTTTAGTGCCCTTAAGCACTGCATGGCAGGGATTCTGATTGGCCCTGGTTAACAGACTCCCATCGGAAAAATAGAGGGGAGTTGCCTGTAAAATACAATAGATGTGTACGAACCCTGGCGTGTAAAAAGTTAGTAGAACAACCGGTAAACGTGCACCTCCGCGCGCATAAACGCAAAAATGTACAACCCGTATGACTAAAGCTAGTACAGAGCAAAAATTAATTGGAGTAGTTCGTTAACAACGAGAAATCCTTCAGTCTTGCTGTTTTACAAAAAAAAAAATTTAAGGCAAGTTTAAGGTGATAATGTTTATGTATATATTTATTATTAAACAAATGAAAACGTCAAATACAAGATCACCTTTTTTTGGCGCAGTCATTTTGTTTAAAATGGAAGTGAGAGTCCTTGAAAATTTTTAAGGACTGTGTGGTGTTTAGTGACCGTTAGTTAATGATTATTCGAAGATGGTGAGATGCGGTCTGGTGTGACGTAGGTTTTAGAAAAACGTTGTCTTTATCGTGCCAACGTTTCGATCTTTATTGAAATCATCTTCAGGGCTCAAGGTGTGTTTTTTCTGTTCCATTATTTTCTGTCGCTTGCACTCTCAACACGACAGACTGGAATGACACATCTGCACGAAAAACTAACACCTTTTGTTCCCTATTAATCTTTAAGTAAGAATAAATAATAGAAAATCTTTTTTAAAAATAAAAAAGAAACTTTAATCAAGAGCTTTTTAAGACTTGCGCTTCGCTCTAGCATACAATATTCACTTCTCGGAAGAAAGGTTGAGTTATGGACATGACACCTACACTCTTTGTCCCGAAACCTAACCATTCGTAACCTAACCCCAACCGAAACTCACCCAAACCAAAACTCTAACCATTCAAAATCTTACCCGTCATTCACTCTACCCCCTACCCCTAATCCTAACCCAACCATAACGAACTTGTTCCTAACCATATACATAATTGGGTCAGAATTAATTTTTGCAGTGAAGATTCGTTGTCGGAGACCATCAATTTCAGAACTGAGGTGTTAATTTCCTTTGCACAATGAAAAAATTCACCCTCATTATTCACTGGCATTTTGTTTCATATATTCAGTAGGTTTACCAGAGGTTTAATTTGTTAAAAACATCCGGAAATTGAAAATATTTCCCTTGCTTGCCTTGATTGAAATTCTATTTGCAATGTCGGAGGAAACGCTGATTATTTGCTGACTACATTCATTCGATTTTGCAATCTCGTCTCAATATATACGAAACTTTTATATTAATTTATTACAACGAGCATACTTTTGAAGAAACAATTCACAACTTTCCCTAATTAAATTTCAAAATGTTCAAAACCGTTTTATGTTGTGTTTCTAAACATAAATATGTATAAAAATCCCATGAACTCAGAAAAGAGAATTTGCTTTTTAGCACTTTGAGGCCGCTATGTACATAAAAGATTGCGTATATCACACTCTACAACTGTTGTTTTTCCTCGCAGACCCGAAACGCTTCTTATCTCTTTAATTAAAAACCGGTTATTTTCTTTCGCCGTCCAAAATGAATTATTAATAAGACACATTCAACTTGCCGAAACAGCAAAATAAAAAAATATTTTTAACGACTTTAGGACTGTTTCAAGCCTTAAGTCCATTTGTCCCTTTGTCTCAAACCTTAAAGTAGCAATTTTAATTATTATTAGTTTAAAAAAAGTGCGACCACTCATTTGTTTGTTTAAACTGATTACAATTATTCGAGATTTTGTATGCTGAAAAAATATTTTAGCGGGGAATGAAAAATGGTGTATTTGAGTGTGTAAAAAAAAGTGTAACGTCATGTGTTTACATACATGATCGTAGCAAATATCTGTGAGTTGTTACCTTTGTCTACCGAAATTGAATTAGGCTCAATTAACAAGTGAAATTCCATTATTCAATAAAAATGTATTGTTCTTGTTTCTACCTTCTAATTTACCGCACATAAGTAAACATTCATTGTTTAGTATCCGCCTGTGTTCACAGAAGGATTGAATAGCTGGGATTTATTGTATTAAATTCAAAATGAAGCGGACAATATTACGATTTTATGTATTTATTCTGCAGAGATACATATTCAAAAACAACTATCCTTGTATGTTTTACGAGACAGTCTATTGGAAAACATAAAGACGTGTACATTGAAAATTATATTAGTGAATCTATTGATTATATCATTTAAATGATGTATCATACATCGTACATTTTTTTTATTTTAAAACCCATAAAGCTTTATTTAAGGGCAAAAGCCGTTTACCAATTTGCATAAACGCCTCACAAGAATACAGTATTGAAAATTAAAATATTTATTACATGTATATCTATTAATTGGGCTTAAAATTTTTTTATTCATATTAATGACACAATTAAGGTTCTAAGTCACGCAAGATGTTTTCGTTTGTTTATCATTTTGGCTGTTTTTAATTTCAATTAGTGCATTTTGCTATGAATTTTGGCCATAGAGGAGAAATTAGATACATCAATTTCACTAAACAAAGACAAGTACAAAAGAGATAAAAATAATGCAAACCATACCTAACATAACACAAACACAGTCAACAAATAATAAACAATAGACACAAAAAAGCAAAACGACACTACAAAAACAGACACTAAATGGACCACATTGACATACACGTAGATGGAGGAAAACGTATTCCCCCTCAAACGGCTACCCACCAACGGACAAAATAGAAAGAGAGTGCCAGAAAGAAAGCAGTAGGGGAAAAACTTAGTTTTTTTTGTTGTCAATGTACACTCAATGAGAGGAATGTTCTGCTAAATGTAAAATATAATTTGTTGGTCAGTGATGTGTTTGCTCGTTCACCTTACCTCTGTTTTATCCCCCGGAACATTACACATAATGGTTTCGAATAATTGTCAGCGTTGACTTGATAAATGAAATAGTTTCCAATACAACTTTAAATTGAAAGTGTGTTTTGTTTCATTTAGATGGTCCTTAAATTCCGAAAACTTGTTCGATTAGGCAAGTGTTCTTTAACTCTCGTTTTAATTGCTCTACCGTTTTGTCCTATATCTCTAACGTCGCTATCATTACTAAGTTGGTAAAGGGCGCTTTTCGCCAAGTTTTGAACCTTGTCTTTAGGTTCTGAGAGGACGTTTCTAAGTGAACACATATCTCTAAAATCTTGTTTAAGAATTTTAACTACTTTTTCTGATAGTTCACCAATGTACGGCAAACAAAGAAAACTTAATTATTCATTTCTGTTGGGGTGGATGAATCCAATTGTTAGTACTTTTAAAGTTAATATTTTTATTCTTTTAACTAGCAACCTATCAATAAACATTTCTTGATATCCATTGTTTTTAGCTAAGGTTTTAATAGTTTGTAATTCTTTTTTATAACTGTAGGTATTAAAGAGAGTTTTAACATACGGTCTATCAGCCAAATGAAACCAGCGGCTTTTTGGATACATGGGTGAGAAGAATCCGGTGATATGGTTTCTGTAGTTTTGGATTTTCTATATACGGCTATTTCGAGTAGGTTGTTTAATATGGACAGTTACGTCTAAAAAGTTAAAAAACAACCAACTTTATTAATTTCCAATGTAAAATTTATATTACAATACACATAATTGGTTGGAGGAATTCTATAGATCATCTAGTGTTCCCGATCATGTGCATATAAAATCGTCTACATAACGTTTCTAAAAACGAACAAATTCAATTAATTTGTTGTTAGATCTGAAAAGATTATTTTTCAAAATCCTTTCATTTCATAAAATATATTGTTGAATTTACAATAATTCGAGAGTGGGCAGATATTTAAATGGACAATTATATCATTTTTTACAAATTCTTTAATAGAATTCTCCGTAAATTTATGTTTTAAAATTTTGTACATTATTTAACAGGGATATTTGTGAATAAATTGATAGCATCAAATGACACTAAAACACAGTTGTTATGTATATTTATGTTCTTTAATTGTTTTATCAATTGTAAAGAATTGTTAATACTGAAGTAGGCTTGAAATTGGTGTGAGTTTTCAATATTTTTTCAATTGTATTCGCTAGTTTTTCGCATGAAGAATTACAAAAGAACACTGGTCATATTTGTGTTCCTTGTGAATTTTGACCATACCGTATAGGTGGGTTTGGGTTCATTGGTATTAGTTGTTTAACTGCATACTGGTCATTTAAGAAAAAAGCCACTATTTTTTAGGGCTGGTTGAACTTTAGGTTTTAATTTTAAGGTGGGAACATTTTTTGTTTCTTTACAATCATTATTGTTTAGAAATTCTTCAAGTTTAGAAACGTATTTTTGATGTTCAATGATAATTATACTCTTCCATTTATCTGATTTTAAAATAACGTTGT